ATCTACACTTTCATCGTGTTTCTAACCTGTACTCGCACATAAGAGGGCCTTCTTAAAATTATACAAACAGCGGTAATTTTGAACTTGTCTTTATTATTCCCACCATTTATAAGTAAAAACACAGCCAGTTGCAAGAATAATCGTTAGATATTTATAGGCTCATTAACGCTATTGATCCATTAAATCCATTCCGATCCTCGATATCTATTGAACGTCGTAGATCTGGCAACATGGCGTATTTGCTGCAATATGACCAATGATATATATCGTTATAGAGATTGCTCACCCATATTTAAATAGGGCTATTTCCGCTTAAAATCATCAAAATTTGTTGTCGTTATGTTTCCTACCCTGAGTTCGAATTACACATCCACAAATGTCATTTTGTTTTTGAGTTTGATAGAATTGGTAGGGGAGCCAGTGAGACTTTTAGATGAATATTATTTGTGAAAGGTACAATTTAATTACAAATATATCGTTTATTCTTACCTTGTAGATTACGGTAATCGTCGTAGCCATCCCAACAGTTGTAAGGAGAGGATAAGAAAGAGAGAGCAAAAATTATTTGAAAAAAAAAACTAAATTTAAAATTCGAGAGACGCTAGAATGGTGGTTCCCATCTTAACGAGACTGAGGCCCACAAGGCTAAACTCGTAGCGTAACAAAAACGAGAAATGATTTAACTTGGAACGAAAGACCGAAAGCCGATAGTAGTATTAGGACGTTGAATTTTTGGTTTGTGAAGCATTGGCATTAATAAGGTTAAACCACGTGATGATTTCCATAAGCCTTGATTTTTAAAACCATTCTATATCGCCTTTTGATTAGGGTTTACAAACTTGTTTGAGCAATTTATCCAATAATAATTGGCCTTTTTACCTCTTAATCCTGCTCATGTAAAATATCTGGGCTCCTTACTTCACCTGTTTATATAATATTAATAAAGGACAGAAGGATGAGTATTGCAACTATGTTAAAAGAAATAAATTGGCTTTCAGTTCAGAATTATGTTCAGTACATGACTGATATTTATTTATAAAATAAAAATGACAGTACCATCGCATCAGATCTATTAGAAAAAATTCAATATAATTCGAAATATCACAACTTAAATACAAGAAGCCAATCTGACTTTCATGTTGGCAAGCCATCACTAAAAGTTTCCAAAATATAATTTTTATTAAAGGTTTAAAAAATTTAATAGACTGCCTACAGAAACTTAAAAAAAAAACAATAAATGTATTCAAAAGTAACCTCAAACAATACTTGATAAATAAACAGAACGGATATACTTTCTTGTGATAATACTCTTTAAACCTGCCCTTTTTAAGTATTACCCTTAATTTATTGTTATTTTACCCCTCGTTTTACCCGCATTTATTATAAATTATTTCTATTTTGAGATCATGTACTTTATTTTAAAAAATTACTTGATGTTATAATAATACTACTTACTATGTTTTAATTATTACTAGTAGTTTAGCGACGATAGGTTATAGGAACTTATAGCCACAAAACTATTTTTGTGTTAAACTAGATCCATAGAGAGCAATGTAATTTACAAAGGCCTTCTTTCAACATACAAATAAATGACAACTTTATAATTAAAATAAAAAACACAACAAAATACCTCGGTACCAAGGTAAGAAGATTCATTTTTAAATTTTATTTATTAAGGAAATTTATGACTAGAAGTTTACTAATTATTATTTACAATTCGCTGGTTAAATATGTAATCCAAAATCGTATAATAAAAATTTTCTACAAAAAAATCAGCATTATTGTTAAGATTGTGCACACCCTGTATATATATTAATTGATCTGTAAGTTTTGACAATAATAAAAAGTAACTTGTCAAGTATAAATCTTTATTCTATTATAAAATATAATATATATAATAAACCACTGCACAAGAACGTCTAGAGGTTATGGGCCCAGAAGTCTTATATTAAATTAAGGGAGCAGTTAAATTAGCTATTAAAAAAAAAATGAACATGATGCAAAATTTACCCTAATTGACAAGTGGAAATTTTTTGAACTGGAAATGTGTTTGCCCTATTAGACGAAAAAGGAGTCAAAGAAAATTTGGAAATAGATATTCAAGAAGTGACAGAAGAAAAGAGAAAAGTCGAACTAACAAAACAGGACTCCAAAGCAAAATCGTTAATTATACAATGTCTATCAGACAAACATATTGAATACATCAAAAGTAGCAAAACAAAATTTCTCATCTCCTGCATTTACAATAAATTTAGTTATTTCTTCTTTCGAAAATACCTTAGATTTTTTAGGTTTGTACCCTTCTGATTTTCGTTTTAACAATGCTATCAAATTGATATGTTTTTTGATATCGATATTTTGTTTAATAAGCAATTCTGTCCTTAACATCGAGTAGTAACACCAAAGAGATGTAGGCTTTTGTAATTTACTTAATTCGTTGAAATATACCAGTAATGCTTTTTCATTTGTAATATTTAAAATTTTCTTATCTTTACACCATTTCTCATATTTGTCATAAGTTAAATAATCTCTCTCACATGATTTCTGTGGTACTAAATTTTCTATTGCTGCCTTTTCAATATCTTGTAAAAGATCATCTTCACTTGAAGACATAATTGATAATATATGTACAGTTCATCAAATTTCTAGAGGCTTTCGACGGCTAGACAGAGAAAGCACTACTGACAGGCATCCCGACGGATTTACGCAATGAAAGTACACTCTGCGCATCAAGTATTTCACTATTTCATTCAGACGTAAATGTCAGATGTAAATTTCGCTAAAACATTTCTTTTATTTTCGTTTGTGTTTTTTGCTCATTACAGTTTAATAGAACCTAAGTTTGGAGTTTAATAGCAAATTAAGAGGCCGCGTGATTAACAGTCGATCTCGCGAAATAATAGCCAATGTTATAGAGTTTATGAGAAGAGAAGGAAACTTTAATTCACCTTCAATACCATTTAAAAATGTAAATGATCGTGTTGCTGCAGCCACAGGAGTATCTAAAAACACTGTCGTCCGCATTTCTGGAGAGAAAAAAAGAATCAATAACCGTGAGATATCGGAATTTTCATCACCAAGAAAAACCATTAAAAAACCAAAAACAGTTAATGATATAGATGAAGCTGCACAAGAATCAAATTTTATTTTTTTATTATTAGATAGCTATTTTTGTTTCTGAGTTGTGTTCATTTACAGGATCAATTTTTTTCCGTTTCTCCTTTTTGATTTTATATGGGGTTTCAAGTTGTTTTTGACTTATTTCGACATAAATCACAAACTTTTTTAATAAAGCAAACAAGTGTTAAGAGGTATATGTACGTGTAAACTACAATTACAAAAAATTGATATGAAACCCATAAAATCACCAACAAAAATGTAAAGCTAGCTTCCGTACTAGAACATGGTGTCATTCGTCGAGATAATTTATCGTTTTGTTTAATAGATCAAGAAATGTAAATATTCCCCTGTTATTTTTTATAAAATTATAAGAGAAATAAATTTTTTTCTAAATAGTATAGTTTATTATTTTGTAGAAAAACAAAATTTCGAAAATTTTAGTAATGTTTCAGAAACAACCGTTATTAATAATAGGTACCATTTTCCTTAATAAGGTAGAAATAAAATATAAACTATTTCCACGATTTACAAAGGACTCCAAAAAAATTATAGGTATTTTCCGCTATCCTATAAAATTTATATTTTCTGACTCAATTTCAAAAGGTTGAAGGAATTCCAAAACACCTTTTATGGCATAATAATTATTTTCAATTCTACATACTATATTTAGCTGCATTTAAAAACGTTCTAAGAAAGTCCAATCAGACCAATTTAATCCCTAAACTATTCCACACTTTTAAAATTTAATTACCTAAAAATATTAAAAACTATTTAAAATAACTTGTTTAGCAGACTGTACAATAGCTATCTTAGTCACACGTAGCGCGTTCTCTGTCTGGGCGTCGAATACCTCTAGAAATTTGATGAACTGTACTTGTAATGGTTATTTGAGCGACATTAAGTCAGAATTTTTACGATTTTAAACGCCACTTTGACAGAAGTTGATTATTAATTTCGTTGCTATGGTTACAAAATACTGACAGGTTACTTATTCGCAAATAGCCAATTTTAACGATATGCTGACATAATTTTATTCAATATAATTTCGAAATTTCGGAATTGTTGTTACATGACAGTTGTAGATAAAATATTGTACAATATTCGAGCCGGTAACACATTGTTAATATACTTATGTGCATATTAATAATGTTCATACCGCACTTATATCGTAAATATCTATTATGTATTTCCATAACTAACGAATCATCTTGCATACCCTATAACGACTCATTACCTAATGTATTCAATTATTTTAAGGCTCATAACTAAGGAATCTTCTTACATACTCTATATTTTTTTTAAATTTAGTATATACGTTTTTCTCAAAATGTCCAACTGAGAAAAACATAAATGCCGAGAAAAAAAATTCTAAACGTCAGAATTTTAAAAATGGTCTACATATTGTGACAAAATCATTAAAAAGGATATACAAAGAGCTGTTTTGAGGTCAATCTGGAACCACATTTTGCTTTTTAGGATATGAACGAGTCTTCAACAATATCTGTATCTCACGGGATCTACTAGAACAAGAAATTTATTAATTAATATAGCCGATTTTTAGTAACTTATATGAGATGTTAAGTATTAGTTCTGTCAAATAGGTTAGTTAAATTGTTTTTCAGTGTTAAATCTTCCTAAAATTATTTGCGTATTTTCAAATAAGAGTATTTTTGTAAAAAATTATCATGTCAAAAGTTTGTTTAGTCTCGGCTCTCGCCGCATGACTTTCTTTGCAGATGTTGTAACGTCGCACACTGGGGCAGAATACCTTAAAAGTTGGTATTAATTATTAGATGCCATGAATCGCGTATTAAAAGAATAAAATACATATTATATGTCTATATTTTGTAAATAAAACATAAAACATTAAATTTTAATTATTAACTGTCATCAGAATCAGTAAGAAATGAGTCATCGTCGTCATCGTCTTCATTACATTGATACTCTGTGGCTGTGGGAGGCACTAACAGATCTAAAGCATCTTTTGGTATGTTTTTCAGTTTCTTTTTAGGTTCCTTTCTCTTACTTGTCAACAATGGGTCTGAACTCAATAAAAACAAATTAAAAATGTCTTCATTGGATTTTTCCCGGCAACATTTCCTGGAATATTGTTCGCGGTAATTTTTGAAATCTTTGTTACGCGCCTATTTCGCCTCTTCAGTCAGTTGGCCAATTGGCAACAACAATGCACTAGATACTATATCTGCTCCGTGTATAAAAACTTATGTAGTGTAGAAGGCATACAGTACCAGCCATACAAATTTACGAAGTGTCGGGCAGTATCATGTGTATATTCGCGGAATCACTCGATGTTGATGGAGTGTCCACATGATACTACTATCATTATAATGTGCATTTTTTTATTAGTTCTACATCTAATTTGGTTATTTCTGCAGACACTTCTGGATTAGAAAAAAACCGCCTGGCAGTGTTGCCGTCATTAGAGTTTCCAAATCCAGGCTTAGGGAAGTCCACGATTAGTCCAGTTTTTTCCCTAAATTTGGAATGGATATTTTTTTTTTGTTTCTGCAACTATTACTTTATCTTCACCTCTAGCTTGCCACTTTTTAATTGGGAGTTTATAGGAAATATGGAGGAGACACTCAAAAAAACGTATCCAACCATGTAGGACAGATATTCCAAATTGTAAGTTTTGTGTTGTTATTTCTCTATTAATCATTTTATCAATATCATTAAAATCTTTTATCGTTGCTCCGCAAATGTAACACTTCTGTGTAGATGTTGTTTCTGTGAGAGCATTGCAAATCTTGCCATCTATCATTGCAAAAATCATATTGTGACTGACTGAAATAGATCTACTGTTTAAGTTTAATTTACTGTTCTGCAACTGCTGTATTTCAGTATCTACACGATTTTTTTCTGCGACAGAAACTTCTGATGATTCTTTTATGAAAGCAATTTTTAGAGGTCTGCAGTATCTCGTAGAAGACGGGCGAGGATTCTGCTAAACTATTTTCGAGTTATTGCTATCTGGGTCACATACTAAACAAAGTGGTACGATGGAAGTTATAAATACAGATGAATCACTTGCTTGGAATCCATGGAACGCCTGCTTATAGGAACTATGTCCTGAGCTGCCATCGCAACCCCACTTTGTCATCAACTGTAGTTTTTCTACTTGTTCGTTATTTAATGATGATATTACGCTCTCCACACTTATTAAACGTTCCACAGTATGATTAAGAAGGTCCTGTAACGAGACTTCCGAAAGGTCTCACTTTAATATTATTTGGGTAACATTTTTTTTTCTCAGCTTGTAATATTTTATATGAAGGAAATCTTTCCGGATTAGACTGTCTTATCAAGCTATATTGGTGCCTAGACAACTTAGCGTCTACTAGTAAAGCCAGGGCATCTTCACCAGACATCTTACGAGGCTCTTTCTCAATTAAAGTTTTATAGGCTTTTCCATATTTGCTCGCCCGTTTCGGAGATGTTGAAGTTATATCTTTTAATAATTTGGAAGCCTCTGTATTTCCTGATACCCTTAAACTCATCTGTGTGGCGAAACTTAGCTCTGCAATAGATTTATTTTTTCGCAGGTCTTCTGTTTTTTTGCGCTTAGTTAGCTCATTGCTCTCTTCAAAAGGAACTATTGGACGTCCTCTCATAGTCGATATAGACTGCCTGTAGCGGGTAAAAGATATTAACGTGTCGAGCCAATTATCATATTTCTTAAGAAACCTATTCCTAGATCTACCTACATTCAACCATCTAGACTTAAATTCTGATTTAAAGTGGTATATTTTGCTGTTTATATCCTTCAAATCTGTATCAGGACAGCCTGTGCGTTCTTTAAGATAACTTGTTTAAAACTTGAATTAGTCGTCAATTTTACTCTGACCAGAATTTGTTAGGATGTCGTATTGTTCCCTTCTTGATATTGCTATAGAGCTATAACTAGGACCTGAAATAAATAAGCATCAAGTAATTAAAATCCTCATAACTAAAATAACACTATTTTCGCCAAGAAATCGCCATTGTAATATTTCATAAAAATATTTGTGTTTCTCAGAAGCATATAGATGTACAGTTGTGTATTAAGGCATATCGAGTTATTTTATGTTTATGAATAAAATTTTTGTTATTGTGCCTCTGCGGCATGTTTTTTTATAATCGCGTAACCAAACGGATTAACAGGCGGTATACGTGCACTTTCTATTACCCCTTTTTTACGACTGAGGTGTGAGGAGCGGGAGAGACTTACAGTCCCGAGACATTCGCTGTCTTATGTGCTGGAGTGTTGGTAACATTTCTGCAATAAAGCGAATGTATTCAAAGCACTTTTGATTTTTGAATTAATACCAGATTTTAATGGATTCTGCCCCACTGTGCGCCGGGCAAATTTAGCTCTCATTGCGAAAACATATCGTTTGTGTTCACCTGCACTATGTTCTAATAAATGGGTCGACAGTGACAGAGTTAATTTTTGATGGAAACATATCTCGATAATAATTGTCATACTTAACTTCATACTCTCATTTGGAGAAGCGCCGTGGTTAAATTTACCATTTAGGAGATAATTTAGGGAGTCAACAAATTTATGCAACCGGTTGTTATACTTATAGGTTAAACGTGTAAAAATTCCAGAAGTAATCATGGGATCTAATTTTACCAATAAGAATTTTGAACGGAACATCAAGATCCAAACTATATCCAAAATTGAAAAACTTTGATGGTGTTTTTGTTTTTAATTTATTTCATGCTATTTTTGTAGTTTAAAAATACATTAACCAAAACGGGTCATCCTGTAAATATCAATATTTTATTTTGCTTAAGAATTTTCTCTACATATATTAGTCAGTAACTTAGAAAAATATTTAGGAAGGAATTTTTGATGTCCGTTTTAAAGAAGTTTTAAAGAAATGTAGAAATCCAAACATGGGATAGGATTGGGTCCATGAAGACTTTTAAACAGGACATCGAGTACTGTAACAAATTATATTTTATAAAAAAAATCAGAAAATTAGGCCGTGCTCCCATTTGCATAAAAAAAGTGAGGTGCCCTAGGTGAACTGACCTCGTAATAGGTCATAATTAATAAATTGTAAATAATCTTAAACTTTTACAAAACTATAATTAACTGAAACAAATAAGATTCAATTTACAAATTTTAATACTTCACCAAACAAAGTACATTTAGGTTCCTCATTTACGATTTTAAAAGTCAATAAAACCATTTAGGAGATTTTAGAAGTAATCATTATTTCATTAAAATTCTGGTAATTAAACTCCAAAAATAAATTAACTTTACGTCAATTTTTCATTACAATCCTTCAATAGCTGCCCTAAAATAATTCAAGCGTTTAAAAGTTTACATTTAATTAGTATAATTTGTCTCTTATAACTTGATGGATGCTTTTTAATAAAATTCAGGTAAAACGTTTGAGATAATTTAGCCGACCTTAATAAAGGAAGAGCGCGACATTATTTTCACGGGCACATACTAAATTTGACGGTAAATTACCCGTTATTTTACCGGAGCCTTTGGAACTGATACTTAAGCGAAAATTCCTTTGTAAATGTGCGATTCATAACTTAGAGGCTTCTAACTTCTTTATAGGACAAGTTGATTTAGGATGGAATTGCTAATTTGTCTTTGCGACGAAGAGTTAAGTTAAATATTGAAATTCGTGAGTCATAAAATTGCGGACGTCTTAAGTTTATATCAGCGTTGCTGAAACTGTGGAGTTTGCCACTCTGGGAAGCGCCGAAAGTGGACAATGAGGAATCTTCGAATGAATAAATTAACAAGACAAATTCTAAAAATGTATATATTTATAAACATATAAAAGTACAACATAATCTAATAACTGACATGCGCCTGCGTTAAGGTAGGTATGTGGGTGGGCAAATTTCGATGTTTTAACTATAAATGGTATGGAAAAATGGACCTCCCATCCTCGATATCTTTTTTTGAGAATAACTTAATGATATTTTTAAAAATTGGCTATTGTCTTTTGTTTTCGAGTTATAAACAAAAGTTGTTTTTTTTTTCATTATGTGGCCTTATCTCGCTTATTTTTAAATATGTATACCTTCTTGAGGCACTTTTTTGATAAGAATCCAGTGGCGTAGTCATTTTTTTTAAAAAGCTTTGAAATTCGTTGTATTTTTTTATATGGAACGGGTAGCTGTGACATACAAAAAAGACAAAAGACAGAATGGGAAAATTTTAGTCTTTTTTTGTATACTACAGCCAACTACCCGTTTCATATAAAAAATACAACTTTATGCTATAACTCGAATTTAAAATTTGTTTTAAAAAATTGAGTACGCCATTGGATTTTTATCAAAAAAGTGACTTAAGAAGGTATACATTATTTTCTTTCACTTTCATAAATAAGTGAGATAATGCCATCCATATACCTAATAAAAACTAGAAAAAATTAACTTTTGTTTATAACTCGAAAACAAAAGACAATAGTCAATTTTTGAAAATGCCATTAAGTTTTTCTCAAAAAAAAAGAGATCAAGGATAAGAGGTCCATTTTTCCATACCATAGTTAACGACATTATTTATTAAAACATTGAAATTTGCCCACCCGTACTTTTGCTTTAACATCTTAGACTAAACTCACATTTCTTTTTTCTGATAATTTATAAAAATCGTCTAACCATCCGCTAGGCATTGTTTCTCCTTATTTTGTTGGATTTAAATTTCAATCTCATCCACCTGGTGATATATATCCATTACTCGAATCCATCCTCTATTTCGACCTGTTTCTGATTCTCTGACAATCCCGAAACGGATTTCTCAACAGACGAAATACGAACCACTAGAGGATTCCGTCAAAACCAATAAAATATGGTCTCATACATGTATTCTCCAGAGCGTATCCGAAATATTTGGAGGGGGTTTTTTTATATGGGAACAATATTTTATTTTACGAGGGCAAATTGGCTTTTAAAGAGGGAATGAGAACAAAATCACGAAAGATGAGAAACAAAATTTTATGGGACACATCTTTAAAAGATATACAGGTCAAATCATAAGTATTACTACCACCTATTAACTCACATATTATTGTATTAACTAGCATGTTCAAGGAGAGTCAAATACGAAAACAATTATTTTAGGTGATAGAACAATGAAAATTAAGGTCAGTTTGCTTTAGAAAACCAATGTCCAAAACATTGAAATAGCTGAGATAAAGCTATTCAAAGGGGGAATGGAACAAACTATCAAAACCAAATTTCTTGAAGAACTTAAAATTAATTTAAGGGGATGGGTTGGATATTTTCCCCCTTTTTTTAATTTTATCTTTTTAGAAAAATGATTTGTGGGTCGGGAAGCTCTGATCCAGTATCCTTCATAAGGAATATTTCAGTTTGACCAGACGCGAATTGGTAAATTCTGAAGGCTTCTGGAATAATTAAAATAAGTAAATCCAATGGAGTTGGTGGCACAGCAGCAACAAAATTTCGTGTTCGCTGACACAGTTTTCTAATAGCATCTTTATTAGGCATTTTCCCTTGGACGGCTGGCCCGGTATCTTCTAGTATACGATTTATTATTTGAGCTGGCGTTCCATGGACAGTGTTTCTTTTCAGCAACACATTCACCTGCCGCATCACAATCACGGTTGTGGTTTCCAACGTCAAGCGAATACTTATCGTTCGCAGTGGTATGTAGACGACCGGGGCACTTGTCCGCTTTTCTCTCACATCTCCAAAACTTCTTCGCTCCATCTTTGCTGGCAATATCAAAAACATATAGGTAACCATTAGAACAGAGCTTCTTCTGGTTGCGTTGATTTTTGCAGATTCCATAACTTTTGACACTTTTATGATAACTAAGAGTTTAAGGTTATTTCCACAGATAGAGTAGGTAGGAACCTTAGAACATATATGTTCTAAGGTAGGAACAGTTTATTTAAAATGTCATAAAAGTAATCTACCTGAGGATTATGAATTATTTTGGAGCAATTAAGGGTATTTCCACAGATAAAGTAGGTACGAAAAGTTTATTTCAAATGATTTTTCTTTTTTGATGGGAAGTGGTCAAAAGGTTAGAAAGGTTATAAAATATGTTTATGCTGGCGCCCAAACGTCCAGCGGTCAAAAATCTGGTGCCCAAATGGCGGCGGACAAACGGCGGTGGACAAAGAGCGGCCCCCAAACAGCAGCGCCCAAATGTAGCGTAACATAACATGTTAACAGCATTGCAAAATCTAAATCTCAAGTTTGATCATAAATGAATCGTATACATAAAACCTTAATGTTTAAACTGTAATATGAAACTACAACAAATATTCAAAATGTCCTCTATTTTGTTCAATACATAGGTTTAGTCGTCGTCTCAGAGGAAACATAATTTGGTTTAAAATGTGGTCATTGCTCAATAACGCTTTACACTCATTTTCTCTTAATTCTATTAAATTATATTAATTTCTGAATTATAGACCCTAGACTTTAAATATGCCAATACTAAATTCCAGTGGATTCAAATCTGACGACCGAGCAGGCCAATGAATGAACGCATCTGCACCCCTGCCTATCCATTTGGGAGGAAAATTTTAATGTATCCACATTCTGGCAGTCCTTTTAAAATGGGGCAGAGGTCATGTATGAATATCATTTTATTCCGCATTTGTAGAAGTTCATCTTATAAAATTTGAAAGAGCAAATTTTCCAAGAAATCTAAATACATATCGCCGTTCAAATTGCCCGGTAAAATAAAAAATCCAAGGAATCTGTATGTTGATAATGGTATTCCCGCACAACAAAAGGATTTTCTTCAGCACAAAAATGGGAGTTGAAGACGCCGCATTGAAGAAATGTGGGTCTCTCTGGTTTTCCTAAGATTGCCTGGCAAAACTCCATTCTGGTTGATAAATCGTCAGGAAGAAATTATTGAACTTTTCGAAAGTGAAAACTGTTGACACAATACTTTAGTTACTGTAGATTGCGAATTACCTGACCTTAAGGCTATTTGTCTCGTGCTAACCGTTAAATTTTGCTTAAAAATATTTAGAATTTGTTCTAGCTTCTACTGTTCTGGCAATTCGTGGTGGATCTGTATTATTTTTTTCTTCCAGTTTTCCTGTTTTCCTAATTCGTCTTTTAACGTTAGAAATGTCCCCAAATTTGATTCAGCCATTGTAAGTAGCATCGGTATACTCTTCAAGAGTGTACATGTCTTGACAAAAAAAAAACTATACTCTGTTTTCAAACACTATGAGGGGCGATTTGAATATTTCGCGCCTAAACCTAGCCGCTGATTGGTTATTTGACATGCAAGTTCACATAAACCAAAATGTCTAATAATGACATTAATTTATCCAAATTTGTTACATCGGCACTTATTTCGTGTTTAAATTTTTTATTACCTGTTATTGATGATGAAGTCATTGAATTGGTCAATGCTTCATATCAAAGTCGGAAAAAGAGAAAATTCTAATAAAATCATCAAAAAAATTGATGTGCAGACATGGTTAAAAAAATAATTTTAAAGATGGAATCAACCGATTAGATCCCATAGATTTAATTAAAATACAGGAAGTACATAGCCTTCATATTTTTTATTGGTCTATATTACAAATGACTCTACCTATACAAAACTCAGATATCTTACCTGCAAATAAATATTTAATTTTCAAATTATATTATTGTCGAAAATTCCAAAGACAATTTTGTATTAGTTTGGTAAATTTCTTTCAATAATTAATTATAAATGTTGCCTACCAAAAATATGAGAAATATAAAAAACATTAATATACTAAATGCTTAAAATAGTTTTGACTCCTACAAATACGAGTATGTATACTGTACAGCAGGGGAACACAACATAAGGCCCGCGGGCCGGGTGCGGCCCGCCAGTGTCGTTTTGGCGGCCCGCTGGCCGTTCACCAGTTTGACCCGCCTGCGTCAAATTATACATTTTTCAGTAACAAACTTGCATTTAGGCTGACGACCTTTTTTTTTAGAAAACTCGATCAGCAGGATGGGTTTTTTGTTTTCTTGTTTTTTTTTGTTTTTTTTTTTTTTGTTTTTTTTTTTTTGTTTTTTTTTTTTTTTTTTTGTTTTTTTTTGTTTTTTGTTTTTTTGTTTTTTTATTTTTTTTTGTTTTCTTGTTTTTGTTTTTAGAAATCTGAATCGACTATTGTAGGCTCAGGCTTCTCTTGGAGGCCCTCGTACAGTTACGGATTTTCAAATCTGGCCCTTTGAAAATCGTGTGCAGGCCTACTGTACAGTGTTGCCGTTTGGGCGAAAATCTTCCCATTGGGTGGAAATTTTGACCCTGGCGGGAATTTTCGGTGGATACAATATTTTTGTGGAATTTTTGGAGAATATGTTCCCATAAATGACTTTATTTAATGTTTGGACATAATGTTTTTGTGGTGTTGTCATCGTTGTAATTTGATAGCATATGATGATTCGAGTGATTTTATTAACTAATTTTTAATGTTGGATAGGTGGCTTATAAAGGTAATAAAAACATAGCTATTGATTATAGTAAAAAAGAAAGAAAATCTTAAAATCAATGTCTAAGTAAAGTTAAGCGATCGTTTCCCATCTGCAAACAACTACTCCTTTGGATAATACCGCAACAAGCAGAGATTGAAAATAATTTTCAACACTCTAGTTAATTACCAGTTTTGATATTATTTCGCCTTGTTCTAGAGAACTAGGTACTACAGCGAGCTTCGATTTTGCTTCCTAAGTGCAGATGGCGTTGAGATTTTTTACTCGTTGACTATCTACACTTTCTCAACCAGCTTTAATTTATAAGCAGACCTAATTAAATACCAAAGTCGAGATAGTCTAATGCTTGCTGATGAGTCCTAATAAGGACGAAACCAGTCCAAGTATGACGGTTTCCTTAAGAAGCACAATCAAAGCTCTAGTGTTGAAAATTATTTTCCATCTCTGCTCTTTTCCTTTTGATATAATGCAATACCTGTTGCAGTATTAGCCAAGGGAGTAGTTGTTTTCAGGAGAAAAGTTATGGAAAACTCTGCTGTGAAATGGACTTTGAGATTTTCTTTTCCTTTGTTTTACAAATAATTTTTAATTGGCCCTTAGCGTCGAGTGTATTTGTCCACTAGATCAACTGATACGTTGAAATTTATTTTCATTTTTATTAACTAGATCGCTTTTCCTTATTATAGTTATATCGAAAACATTTTTTTAGTGTGGGTGGAAAAAGTGAGAAAGTTTTAAAACCGTGGGTGGATAAAGGGGGAATTTTGAGATTAAGTGATGGGAAATTTTACATTTTCATTTCGGCAACACTGATACATACTGTATACGTTAAATAAGCTGTTACGAATAAGTTTTCACTTTACGCTGTTACCAGCACGAATTTAATAACGTGTCATCTCTTTGATTTGGTTTGAATTTATTTGAGGTCGGAGCAATTGTCTGCAAACATAAAGCATAATATACTTCAGAGCTTTCTTACGTTTTACCTCAAAAAAGAACCTTTATTTAATTTTAACCAAAATAAATACAAACAAGTAATATTGAGATAAATAATATTATAAATAAAATAATAAACCTACGTATATAACGAAATGCAAAAATAACACTATGTTATTTGTTATCTCCATAATGAGGTGTTCAGTATTATAACAAGCTCACATCAAATTGAAAATTATATATTTTATTTTCTGTTCCTATAGTTACTGATTACTACTTAAATATAAGTTCTTTTTCAGTGTCACAGTTCTTTATAGAACAATAAAAAAAATACAAATTTGAATCTAAAACCACAACAAACCTGAAATATTTTATCTAGGGTAGACAAAATAAAAAATACATTTTTAATTTTAATGATAATTGACATATTTTGACTATTTGACATTTAATTCGGTCACTTATCTTGCCACTATACCGGCGCGAGTTGCAATCTATACCAAGGCCTGAGCACTGATCTGTCAGTGGGTACAAGCCGAAATAAAGAAAAAGTAAAAGAATAGAAGAACCTACACCCCAGGCAGATCTACTGATTCAGCCCTTCATCTAGTTGCTGGCCGGATAGAAAGATCCCTGGACAATAAGTAGTCCAAAAAAAGAGGTTTGGTTGCGAAGGGATGCCCACAGGGAGGGGTGCTATCACCTCTACTGTGAAATATGGTCCTCGACACCCCCATCAGCCGCCTCAATAATGACAGTCACTACACAATAGCATATGCAGATGACCTGGCCATTCTGCAAACAGGGAATTTTGAGAACCTACTCTGCGAAAGAATGCAAGTAGCTCTAAAAATTATCGAACAGTGGTGCAAGGAGCATTCACTGTCTATCAATCCTTAGAAGACAGAAATGGTCCTTTTCACAAGGAAAAAGATAAAAATGGAATTAAAACCTCCAGAACTCCTAAACACAAAACTAAACTTTGCAGCAGAGGTAAAGTACCTAGGTCTCACCTTTGACAGCAAGTTAACATGGAATTCGCATTTAGAAAATAGAGTTAAAAGTACATACATTGCTTATGAACAATGCCGCCGAACCATGGGGCGCACCTGGGATTTTTCCCCCAAAGTCTTACACGGCTAACATACGGTGCAGTTGTCTGGGTACAGAAAACCCAAAAATTAACAGCTATCCGTAAACAAATTCAAAGAACAGCATGTCTTAACATAACAGGAGCCATGAAAACAACACCGACCAGCGCCATGGAAGTCATTCTTAGTCTCACTTCCCTTGATATTTACATCAAGGAGGAGGCCTGACAAAAATCGGTAGTGACAGACCTAATCAAATAACATTCCCTTGGGAAATTCAAGTAAAGATGGGATGAAAACAAAAACTGTAGAGTTGCCAGGAAGCTCTGAAGTTATTCTGACAACACTGTAGCAAACAAATACTTGACTATGACTAGACATAATCTGCGCCTAGTCACAGGCATTCTGACTGGTCATTTCCAAGTACGAAAGCATCTCCATATCATGGGGCTGTCAAAATCCGCACTCTGCAGAAGGTGCGAACAAGAAGATGAGACCATCGACATATTTTTTACGATTGCTCAACGCTCTCATTTAGTAAAAGATTTGTGTTTGGCGAGTATCGTCTAACACCGGCCGATATAAGAAAATCACCTATTGGCGACGTTGTCAACTACATTAAATCTGTAGGCTGGTTCACGAGCTAAGAGGTGCCTATCATCTCAGGATGATGCACAATGGGCCTAATGAGGCCTAAGTGCCGTGGGATAACCCACCCTCCACACGTTACAGATACAGATACAGAAAAGAACCTACAATTAGTAAAAAGTTAATAGTACAACTTAGTGATGTCATCTTTATTCGTTGGTTATATAAAACTTTGACTTCAATGAATTGATAACAAAGTTTTAAAATATTTGCTCAAATAATACAAACATCAAATTCAAATTTACCGCTAAAATGATATCTAGTTATTTTTTTTAGTATCTTTTTTCTGCGTCTTTTCAATTCATTCCTCCTGTTTTAAAAACGGAGTAACAGGAATAGGAGTAACACGTCGTATTGTCATTTTTACTTAAACAAAATTGTGACATTACATAGCTTATTTGACAGTTTATATTGAAACAATACATGTCTTACTTTTTTAAAGTCATTACAGATATTATAAATAACATCTACTGTGTAGTTACATTTTAAAAGTCAGATTATTCAAAAACGGTTGACGCTATCGCGTTTAAACAAGAATACCCTTTTTGTAGGTAAAACTATGGAAATTGTTTTTCTTAATCAATTTTCCAGAAAAGAAAAAATTTAAAAAATAGGAGTAAGAATACCAAACCCATCTCCTTAAGCTACACCTTTAAAAATTGTTTTTCCTTTTGTTTTATCATTAAATTAAATAAAACTTTTAAGTTCTAAAAGAAATTTGTAGTTGATAGTTTGCTACTGTTGGAAGGACCGAAAAACTGGTTTTTCCAATTCCCCTTTGAATTGCTATATTTCCTTTATTTAAAAGTTTTGGACATTAGATTATATAGCAAACTAACCTCCTAAAATATTTGTATTCTTTTTTGACTCACCTTTTTCGGTTTGAGTCATTGTGTTGTTTAAATTACGAAGTTGCATATTGTACAGTATAGATTTTTAAAAAAGTTTCGGACTGCAAGAGGTCGTTGGCCGCACTCTATAGTCAGACAAATTGAAAATTCTATACCTCCATGCCAAATATTTGTTGAATTATAAATAGCAGGTTGCCTATACTTCTTGACTTTCGATCTTTCGTTCAAAATCAAATCGTTTCTCGTTTCTTTTATGATACGAGTTTACCTGTGGTATGTGTCTTTCGAATTTATAATCGTTTTTCATTTTGCAGCCAATTTTTCTTTTTCAAAAATATTTGCCAATACCTTAACTCCCTACTATCGACTACGGCTTTGTCTAAACTATCAGCGTGAGGCATTTATTTTTCGTTTTATCTTAATTTGGACGTGTCTTCTGGAAATTTATCTTTCCACTTTCCAGATGGAATGCCACGAGGGAATGTGCTGATTGTTATAGATGAGAACATTTAAGATGATGCGTTTTTCATATCGCTTGTTCGATAACTTTCATGAGTGAATTAATAAAGTTAGAAATAGGAAAACGTACAAAGAAGAAATTTCCTGTTTTTCTGCTAAATACTTATAGAAAAAATATACACGATAGCGAAAAAGTCTGGCAACAAGGTATTTTCTTTGAAACGAATGAATGTGTAATTATGGAATTGTAGGGTGATGAATGGGAGTGTATTTTGCATTTTTTAGAGGACATAATAGGTAAAAAGCAAAATAAAGAAAATTACGGATATGAAGAAAACAGGAAATAAAAAAATAAAATTAAATGATAGGTAACAAAAGTTTTATGATTTATGGAACGTAAATGAAAATCCAGTAATTCAAAGAGTTCCAGGTATACTTAAACGCCTTTTTTTATAAATTGATTACAAATTCAAGAGACGCTAAAATGGTGGTTACCACCTTATCGAGAATGAGGCCCACAAAGGTAAACTCGTAGCGTAACAAAATCGAGAAATGATTTAACTTGGAACGAAAGACCGAAAGCCGATAGTAGTATTAGGACGTTGAATTTTTTGTTTTGTGAATCATTGGCATTACTTAGGTTCAACCATGTGATGATTTGCACAATCCTTAATTTTTAAAACAATTCTATATAGCCTTTTGATTAGGATTTAAAACCTTGTTCGAGCAATTTATCCAATAATAATTGGCCCCATTACCTCTTAAGCCTGCTCATGTAAAATATTTGGGCTCCTTATTTCGCCTATTCTATTAATAAAGGACAGAAGGATAAGTATTGCAACTATGTTAAAAGAAATAAATTGGCTTTCAGTTCAGAACTATGTTCAGTACATGAATGATATTTACTTATAAAATAAAAATGACATAGTACCATCGCATCAGATCTATTAGAAAAATTCAATATAATTCGCAATATGACAACTATAACATAAGAAGCCAATCTGACTTTCATGTACGGCAAGCCATCACTAAAAGTTCCCAAAATACAATTTTTATTAAATGTTTAAAAAACTTAATATACTGCCTAAAGAAATTAAAAAAAAAAAACAACAATAAATGTATTCAAAAGTAACATCAAACAATACTTGATAAATAAACAGACCGGATATACTTTCTTGTGATAATACTCTTTAAACCTGTCCTTTTTAAGTATTTCCCTTAATTTATTGTTATTTTACCCCTCGTTTTACTACTTAATAGTTTTGCGACGATAGGTTATAGCAACTTATAGCCACAAAACTATTTTTGTGTTAAAGTAGATCCATAGAGAGCAATGTAATTTACAAAGGCCTTCTTTCAACATACAAATAAATGACAACTTTATAATTAAAATGAAAAACACAACAAAATACCTTGGTATCATAATTGATCAAAAATTTGAAATAAGTCATTAAAAGCCCAAGGTAAGGAAGATTCATTTTTAAATTTTATGAGTTGAGGAAATTTATGACTAATTATTATTTACAATTCGCTGGTTGAATATGTTATCCAAAATCGTATAATTACAATTATCTACAAAAAAAACCTACAATATATCCTTTGTATAACAACATTATATTATCTGTCTTGTGGTACCTTTATTTATGGAAGGCCTGAATTGAGATACACTACAAATTATTTGCAATAAATATCAAAAGAAGCATAATTTTTAAATAATTTGACATTTAAGAGCCATTCACACATCACAGTTGACATCTTGATACTTAACAGGCACAGCCAAGCATTATTCTGATTTTTGCCAAATAAAATGGCCGGTTAATTATTCTATGGGGTTGCGACAGAAAGCCAGTAAATTTGATGAAGGTGTTTTTGTGACTAGGGGCGAAATAGTAGTACGCTTAAGTTAGCACCACCATCAAAATGAATTTTTCATAAATTGACAGGCTTGGCGACTAATTTCGAATAAAAATAGTCTCCAAAATGGCTATGGTTGCAAATATGAAGGTCGCAACCCGCCTTAGAAATTTCACCTTTATAATCACAACAGCTGTTGTTTGACAGGTCGTTAGAGAATGTTTGCAATTTATGGAATGTAAAAAATATTAGGAATGTTGACGTTAGAAATAATTGGAATTCGTAAAATTGTCACATAAGATATGCATAGGCGGATTATAAGAAAATTGATATTAAAGTAGTTAGGATGAACCGAAAATTCTAAAAATCAATAGGGTTCTAGGTTAGAAGTAATTATTCAAGAAAATTAAAACCGCAAGTTAATCAGAAGTTCCGTTTTAGAGTTATTGTGCTGGCATACATACACACGGACGACCAGACGAACATTTTTTTTTGCATTTTCGGACTCAGAATGATCGGAAACATAAAAAAAATACCAGTGGCACTCGGAGACTGCCACGGTAAAGCTATTGCATAGCATTTTTTATCAACTTATGCAATTATAATTATTTATTTATTTTATTTATGTAGTATTTTTTTTTTCTTTGATATTAATTCAAGTTTTTTCTTTGATATTAATTCAAGTTACACTTTTTGAGCGTGGTGACCGATAAGAAAACAATTTTTTTTCTTTTATTGAATAAATATTTTTAAAATATTTTTATTACCTTACAATACATGTAGGTTATTCAAGAATTTTTATCATTGAAACTATAGGTTGATGGTAACTGAAATAAGAAACATAAGTTTGAGACTTGATATCCTCTAAATATCTCGAAAATACCGCGTCAATGGTGGTCCCATATTTTGTTGTGTATTCTTGTGGATCATTATTCATTTTTAAATTCAATTGTTCCGAAATTGTGTCTAAAAGAAATAAAATCAGTTAGCAGCTAGTCTACACGCATACGTCTAGTCGCACGCACACAAACACCGTGCCGAAGTCTGCTGAACTGAAACGACGTTAGACGATGCACGGCTTTCAACGCCGCTACGCTGTGCCGGTCGGAGTGAGGGGTGTTAGGTTTATTTTTATTACGGAATTTCTGTTTCGATTTTTCGATTTTTTTAATTTTTCAATTTTTCGATTTTTGATTTTTCGATTTTTTGATTTTTCGATTTTTCGATTTTTCGATTTTTCGATTTTTCGATTTTTCGATTTTTCGATTTTTCGATTTTTCGATTTTTCGATTTTTCGATTTTTCGATTTTTCGATTTTTCGATTTTTCGATTTTTCGATTTTTCGATATTTCGATTTTTCGATTTTTCGATTTTTCGATATTTCGATTTTTCGATTTTTCGATTTTTCGATAATTCGATTTTTCGATTTTTCGATTTTTCGATTTTTGGATTTTTCGTTTTTTCGATTTTTCGATTTTTCGATTTTTTGATTTTTCGATTTTTCGATTTTTCGATTTTTCGATTTTTCGATTTTTCGATTTTTCGATTTTTCGATTTTTCGATTTTTCGATTTTTCGATTTTTTGATTATTCGATTATTCGATTTTTCGATTTTTCGATTTTTCGATTTTTCGATTTTTCGATTTTTCGATTTTTCGATTTTTCGATTTTTCGATTTTTCGATTTTTCGATTTTTCGATTTTTCGATTTTTCGATTTTTCGATTTTTCGTTTTTTCAATTTTTCGATTTTTCAATTTTTCGATTTTTCGATTTTTCGATTTTTCGGAAAAATTGTTTATTATCCACCACTCAATACGAAATAGAAATATTTAAGAACCAAATCGTTTTTTGTACAACTCTCCCTACTACCTTTTAACGTAATGAAAATAAATCAAAATATTAAAAATTTAATCTTTTGTTACTGTGATGTTCATAATTCTTTTCTCTAATGAGAATGAAACTCACTTTTCTTAGAATGCAGGTAGTCAGAATTAAATTATTTTTATTTCTTAATATTTTAATAAGATTTACAACCTTAATCTATGAACATTATGAATTTTAAAATCAAAACTACTTCTTTGATCTTCTAGGTATTATAATAAGTATTATAATAAGTATTATTATAATAAATTGTCCAGACTTAGGTACTTAATACCTACTTACGGAAAGTGAAATCATTTTAATTTCATCCCAGTATTTTTTAAATTTGAATCTTATATTTCTTATATTGTAAAACAATAATCTTTTTTTGAAAACATGAATCTAGCAATGAATATGTAGATATATACATGTATATAAATACAAATAAAAAACTTGTTTTTAAAAAATTTTAAAAATAAATAATTATATAATTACTTATTGCTTTGTAATTACTATTTAAATAAAATAAATAATATAACTATATTATTTTTTTTTTTTTGACTAAAATATTGATCTTCCCTCGTTTCCGTATTCAGATACAAATGATTCTTCGCTAAGAACTCCGTGAATAGCAAATAACAAATTCAACGGATCGATATTCATTTTGGCGAGTAGATTATTTTACCAAATATTTGACTACAGGCACTACTGGTTAGTCAGTCCCACAGTACAGAAATCGACAATCCTTTGGAGACTCTGTCCTTAAACATTATCATTTCTAAGTATTTAGTATTTAATTTCGTCCTCATTGTAGATGGCTATTTTTAAGAAGTGTATACGAAATAAAAATACTAGAAAAATATAAAAAAATATAAAAAAATATATACAGGGTGG